AGGCTGGCAGAGTGTAGAACTTCTGTGAAAGCTCAATTGTGGTTTTTGGGTGGGCTGTATTGGAGGCCTCACAAACTATAAGCATTGCCTATATAAAGTGATGAACTTGTACTTACAGTGAGCCTAAAGTTTCAGGCTCAGTTACAAGCTTTAATGCTCCCAGATCTTAAATTTTGGGAGAGGTCAAAAAGAGAAGAGAGAACTCGGAACCCAGGGTTCCCAGCCAGGATCACTTAAAAGGCCTCTTGGATTCTGTGCACTATCCAATGTACCCCAAAAAGTTGAGACAAAGCTGATAACCCCCTCACATGGACATCTTACAGAATGACTCCCTTCTCCTTGTTCCAAGGAAATGTCTTCAACTTTTGATGAAATTTAATTCATTTTAAGTGTTTTTCAATTTAAAGTACAAGCATTTTGTGTAAGACACGTTGGAGTAGCTATCACCCAAGGGCCAAGATGTCCAACAGCCAGTTTTGGCTCTGTGCTTACCCTAGTGTTAAATTGTTGGTGAGGGCTGCTGCCTTTCCTTTTTTTAATGTATGTGCAATAGCATAGTCTGAGTCCTGAAGTTTACATTCTGCCAAAAACATTTAAAATCCAAAAATCTGCAGGCTGATCCTAAATTTGTGATGCAACATAGAATTTCCGTTGTGTGCATTTCCAGTGGCCTTAGCCATAACTAGAATATGCTAAGCACTATACTAACTTACATTCTAGCCTAAATTGCTGTACAATTCAGCTTGATTAGCCCTCTGCTCAGTGAAAAGCCAAGATTAAAAGATAAGGGCTATTGGAGATTGTCATGATGTAGGTGCAGTGTTAGAGCTACATGGAGCAACTTTCATTATTCCTGGTTGCAGCTGATATTCCTATTTGTTTACAGTTAAAAAAAAAAGTACACTATATAAAAGTAAAACAGATATATAAATAGAAACTTTCAGCACTATAGCTCAGATCAAAAGGATTGAGTAGCACTGTTATGATTCTGCAGTAATATAGCCCCTTTCCCCCTTGTGGGTGGATGGGTTAGGGGGATGATGGTTGTGCTCAATTGTACATGTGTTCTGTTTGGGTTCTTATACCATGCTCCTCATCTTTGTATCTGCGTGCCTGGAACTCAGAATTCGTATTTAGCCTCTTCACCTGAAATTGAATGTTGTCTGAAAAGGACCTTCTTTTGGAGAAAATTTACTGAGCCTCACAGGTACTGACTTTGGCCCTATCTTCAAAATATTTGAAGGTGGTTGGACAAAATCTGGTATGTGCAGCCTTCAAATAAATGCTGTTCAGATACAGCTATAATTTGCTTTAAATGTTTAGGTGGAAAATTTCTGCGGCAGTCATGTAAACATTTTGTCTAAGCACTTGCCTCTAATTTGGAGCTAGTGCACTGGAATGCTGGAGCTATGGGTTTGTATGTGGCTTTCGGATTATCACTCCTGGGGCTGATGGTAGATTCGATGCATCACAGGGCTGTGTTCTGGCCATGCCATTTGTATGGCAGCCCCCATCCAGGCTGCATCATGGAGCTACATTGATATCTGCCTTGGAGGAGAGTATCTGTCCAGCAAAAGGTAATTCTACCACAGAAAGGTTAGCAAAGACTGGGAAGAGACTTCAGTAAATAAGCAGCATGGATTGATGGGGACAATGAAAAACTTCTATCAAATTGTAATAAAATGGTGTTTTTTACAATTTTTTTTAAAGTTTAGTGAATTGCTGTCTGATCTCTTTCTCATGTGTATGGTTCTATCAGAGATATGAACTGCAAGTAGTTTATCTTTGATAATTTGCTGACTTCTGTCTTGGGAAATAAAAGGAGTACACGTACCTTAACATTAGCCAATTTTATCAATTTCTGTTGCTATAAATACTCTGTCAGCTTAGAGTAGAAATGTAAGTACCTGCACCTGCTGTGATAGAACAGATTAAAGAGAAAAATTAGAGCATGGTACAGTGTGACAAATGTGCTGGTGGACATCACTTCATTCACAGTCACCAGAGTATGACCATACTTCTGAAACCTCCCTTGCCACTGCACTGTTATTAGTTGTACATGAATTTGGGATGATTGCACTTCCCTTTGATGTGAGAAAGGAACTGACAAAACTGGATAAAATAAGAAACCAGTAGTTGGCATAGTGTGTCAAGAGGGTAATATTATCAGGAAATAACAATTCCATCTATTGTGAATGAGTCTCATATTCTAATGCCTCTCCCATGATAGCTGACGACTCTGTAATATGTTTTTGAGCATTATAGTTATAATTCAAACTGCTAATTGTTTCTATGAATGACTTCTGTAGTGTATTTTGAATGTTATGTACAAAGTCTGTGGAACAAAATATAAGGTATCAAGTGGGTTACTACCTCCAGCTTCCTGAAAGATATTCAATATATACTAATAATTGTTAGTCCTTTTTGATAGTCCTAAACAAATATCATTAAGGTTGAGCCAGATTTTTAACAGTATTTAGGCACCTAGCAGGGTTTTGAAAAGTACCTAGGTGCCCAACTTCCAAATCAGTGGAAGTTAGGCACCTATTTACATCTTTAGTCACCTAGATAACAGGCCAGATATTTAAAAGTATTTATTGAGAGCCAGTTATAAAACCTCATAGAAAACATTGAGAGGAGGAAATTCATTCTCAGAGCTATAAGTAGTTTCTGGGGAAAATGCTTAAAGGAAGAGTTATGCAAAGATTGAGGGCTTGTCCTCAGTGCTTAATTCTTATTAAAATAATTGAGAGTTTTATCTGTATGCAGGCCTCTCTTTTAGAAGGAATGTGAATAATTCCATCTGATAAAATCAGTTCCATTTACCTTTAATTTTTCCTTTTAAGTTGCAGACATTTTGAAATAATAGTTGGAGGACTGTGGATAAATATTTTTAATCACCCAATTTTTTCAGCACATTGTTTCTAGACTGTTATTTTTCTTGTTTTTACAGTCAAAAGGAAACTCCAAATACTTACATCACATTTTCATGACAAGATTTGAGCACTTTGCAAAAGCGAACATCAAGATGGGGGAAACAGTTACAAGTTTAGGGTTTATCTACACTACAAACACAATTGGATCAGTGGACCCAGTTACAGCACTAGTGTCCCCTGTCTCAATTACAACATGGTGTCCTTTTGCTAGCACTGCAGGGGACAACACTGACCTGGCTGTATTGGTAATGCATGAAGATCCTAAGTGACTTGACCGGGAGTTCAGTGGTAGGTTGGGGAATAAATCCAGGTCTCCTGGTGTTTGGTCTCTAGCTATAAGTAGTAGGTTTATTGCCTCCCATTAAATTAAGAGCTTTGAAACAAGTGCAGCAAAATGTGTTTGACTCATTTCCTTTTGTGCATAATTGTTCTCTTTCTCTCACCCACTGCACCTTAGGAATTTTTGACTACTTACATTTATATCAACCTGTTTTTATTATTTGACTGCTATTACCTATTCCTGGTAACTTTATTATCATTTTGTCCTCATTTAGCAATCTCTCCTTTAAAATAAATATATAATCTATAATGTGAGGCAAATAATATAACCAAAAACCCAATCTTGTACATTAGTTAATTGATCTGGGACTCTGGCACCTTCCATAGATTTCCATTCGTCCCTCTTTCCTTCCTTCCCACAATGATTTCTCATACACTGAACCAATAAAGCCTCTACAATCATGGATTAGCATTGACTCATGTAAAGAAGACAGCTATAGATCCGAAAAGCATATACTTTAAAACATGAACAAACCAACTGATCACTTAATGTAGAGAAGGGAATGGATTTCCTTCAAAGTAAGTCTGTGATGGAAAAATGGACAAAAGATATTGCAGTCCACATCTGTGAATTTTCCTTTAGAAACAGAGTAGATAACTGTGCTCACAGGGTAAGAGTCCTCTAATAATATAACTCTAATACTATTGATTAATGTAAATTCAAACAACGTTAAATAAGCTCGCTAAGTTGTTAACTGAAAAGAGAAGTGGTCCCGTCTTAAAGAAAATATTTTCTCATTTCTCTTTTAACTTAAGCTGTGTGGTGGGCTTTTAAATTAGTTTAGTTTCACAAGCAAATATAGAATTGATTTAAAAGTTAGATGTTTTGAGCTGAATTTAGAAAAATATGTGCTAGTCTAATTTGCATGTGTCCAATTTGTGTGAACAAATGTCCATTTGGCCATTTGCACACATATACCAGGCTTGTATGCACATAATACCCCATATAATTTTTCTGTATAGGGCTTTGTTACTAAGGACAAATATGCTATAGGATTAGGCATTGATTTGTTGTACAGTACACACAATAGAATTCCATACCCTAAAACATGTTTTTCCCCCTCTACTTCATTTAAAAGGCGACATCTTTAATTTCACTTATCTTAAAACATTTTAATAACTGAGACTACCAATCATGTTTTATAGGGTTTGATTTCTGTGTCAGGGCCATATTTTATGACACTATCAGAAGCTTTTAATAAGGTGCTTTCTGCTGAGCTAATGATATGCTTTAGGTGGCATTTCTTAGGCCTATCTTCAATAGACATATTCAGGCTAGTGTGAATGTAATAATCAAGTCTCAATCAAACCATACTTAGTATGACAAATATTGCATTAGACAGTGATGTAGGTATTCATGCTTTTGATAAAAGGCTTAATTTGACTCCTTGCAGAAATGGGGAATTACTATTGATTTTTGTATCAGAGTATAAAGTAGCAGCTATTTATAGTGCACAAGAGAAATTGCTTCTTAATTAAAATTAAATGTGAAATTATTAATTCCATGGCTTTACATAGTAATATACAAAGTTGAGTATTAAATTCTGTAGTAAATGTGTTCTTACGTGTGGCTCTGAATATGCAACTTAGAAATTACTCTAAAGTGACCAGACTACAACACTTTCTAAATGGTCTTATAAAACTTTGCTTGTTTTCTACCAGTAACAGTTAGGCAGGGTGAAATATTTTATCCTACAACTCATTTGCTTTTTTTCCCCTCCCAAGAAAATGTCAAAGAAATTTTTGGACAGACCATTATTCATCATCATATCCCTTTTAATTGGGATTGTGAGTTTATTCGACTGCATTTTGGACACAACAGGAAGAAGAATCTTACCTACTCGGAGTTTACACAGTTTCTGCAGGTCAGTTATTTATTTTTCTTTCTGTGCATAATTGGCCATCAGCTCCGTCACTTGTGCTGCATTAATGCCATTATAAATTAGTTTTATTACATGGTGGTGAGAGATTTGTTGTCCAGATAGACTAATTAGAACACAGCTAAACTATCATTGTACCATACCGATTATATAATAAGATCACATACAGTTCATTAGACTTTGGTCCACCACCCTGTTGGAGGGCAGGATTAATTTTGTTTCTAAAATATCCCCTCATTGAGGAGTGTGAGTGTCTGGTCCTGCTCCTGTTGGAGTTCAATGGCAAAACTGATTTCAGTGGGGAAAGGATTGGGCCCTGAATATCTCCACTGGCTGTTACTCCGTAGCTTCCCATAACACTTTGTTATATTGATTAATTTTTCATTTCGCTTCATAAAGTTTTTCCTATTATTTACCCTACATTTCCCATAATGCACACTACGTCACCTCAGAAGTTTAAGACCCTTGTGCCACTCATTCTTAATTAAGGCCAAACTCATAGTAAGCCAGAAGTCTTCCTTTCAGAGGTTTGCTGAAGAATGCTATGGGGAGAGGACTTTAAAAGTATTCACTCCCAGAATCATACTTCAGAGTAGAGGGGGAAAAGGAGTTGTCAACTATAGAGAGTAAGAGAAAAGGAAAGAAGGAGAATGTGGACAGCTGTGCATTGTAATTAAGGGGAAAAGATTTTGCACATTTAAGTAGGTAATTGAATTCTATATAATTTGAAATGATCAACTCATACTATATTTTTGTTGTGGATTTCTGGCTTTTTGACCTAAAGAAAATTAAAATTTCATAACTGACATGTAATTTCCAGGGCTGGCCTGTGAAATTAAATTGCTTTGTTTTTGGAAATAATCTTAGGAAAGTACAGGGTGTTGAATTGGATTGGTTATATTGCTTCTAATTATAGTTTAGGACATAGATACTGAGGGCATTTTAAAAATAAAGGATTTGGTTAGGTAGGTTCTAAAGTCCATGGTGTGTACGGAAGAAAAGCAGTAAAATTGTGGAAGGTAAGTAGGAAGAAGGGCCAGAAGATAGTGATACAAGGAATTGTGGGAATGGCAGTGGAGTGCCATCTAAACTCAAGTCCAGATACCTCTGCAACGCCCACACTGTACAGGGGGTGGTAAGGGAGTGGTTGGTCACAGCTCAGTATACCCTCATAAAAACATGTGAGCCGGGGTTCAGTACATCCCTAGATGTGGGTTTGAGGGCTTTGAGTGTGGATGATAAGGGTTTTGGGCAACAATGCACAGCAAGCCTGCATTGTTGACATACCTGAGTGACAATTTTTGTTGCGATAACCCAGAGGAGTATCCTGGGCAGCCCCAAGGAAGTTTTCTTATGGGATACAGCAGGGTTCTGTCCAGTGCTTAATTTGTAATGAAAGGTGCCGAGGCTTACGCAATTTTTTTACATTCATAACTGATGCAGCAAGCCCAGAGGTGCCAGGGCTATGAACTGCCAAGCCTAGAAGTGCCAGGGCTCAGCTTTGGCAAGCCCTGACAAATTATCAGACCTGCTGTTGCATTCAGCTAGCTTAGTCAGTGTCGTGCTGAGATCAGAGTTTGGATGAGGGCAAGCTGATTGCAACTCAATCTTCTAGACAAGATTGAGGTAATACTGGTAGGTTGGGGAAACTAACCAGACGATTTAGTTCAGTGGGTATCAGCTGGTGAATCTTGCATGCCTTTTGTTACTCTGGTTAATAACCTGGGCATATTTTGGATTCCCAGCTAATTCTAATCTAGACGTCTAGGAATAATGGGAGTTGAGTGTGTGCTTTATTATTATGCATGGCTAGAAGGATGCAGTTTTTTTTATATGGATCTCACTAGAGTGATCCATGCTTTTGTCACTTGGGGATTAGATTTCTGCAATGTGCTTTATATGAGGCTACTCTTTAAATTCATTGTAAACATTAGATGGTATAAAATACAGTGACCCACTTGTAAAGAGAGGTTTCTCTCAGGGAGCATGCTAAACTTACATTCTGGAATCTTCACTGGCCTCCAGTTTATTTTCAGGACAATTCAAGGTTCTGATTTTTAACCTATAAAACCCTAATTGTGTTCAGTCCTGAATACCTGAGAGATCAGCACTCTCCTCATCTCATATAATCATAGGACTGGAAGGGGTCTCAAGAGGTGATCCAGTCCAGTTCCCTGAACTTATGGCAGGACTAAGTATTATCTAGACCAGGTGTGGGCAAACTTTTTGGCCCGAGGGCCACATCTGGGTATGGAAATTGTATGGTGAGCAATGAATGCTCACCAAATTGGGAGTTGGGATGCGGGAGCGGGTGAGGGCTCCGGCTGGAGGTGCGAGCTCTGTGGTGGGTCCAGAAATGAGGAGTTCAGTGTGAAGGAGGGGGCTCCGGGCTGGGGCAAAGGGTTGAGGTGTGTGGGGGGGTGAGGGCTCTGGCTGGAGATGCGAGCTCTGGGGTGGGGTTGGGGATGACGGTTTGGGGTGCAGGAGGATGTTCCGGCCTGGGACCAAGGGGTTTGGAGGGCAGGAGGGGGATCAGGGCTGGGGCATGGGGTTGGGGCGTGGGAGGGGGGGCAGGCTCCAGGTGGCACTTACCTAAAGCAGCTCCCAGAAGCAGCAGCATGTCCCTCTTCCAGCTCCTACACGGAGGCACAGCCAGGCAGTTCTGCACACTGCCCCGTCTGCAGATGCCGCCCCTTCAGCTCCCATTGAGCTGGAGATTTTTGGGATGAATCAGTTTGTCGGGCGTTGGTACTAAAACTTCTGTTATATTTTTATATAGAGTATAACGTGTGCATGCACACTCTTAGGCAGGTGGATGAAGACAGTGGGAGTTCCATGCACAATGGGTGTACAGAATCATATTCATAATGTGATATTTCTAATTCTTATTTCAGGAGCTACAGTCAGAACATGCAAGACAAGCCTTTGCACTGAAAGACAAAAACAAAACTGGTATGATTACTGGACTGGACTTTAGTGACATCATGGCTACCATTCGTTCACATATGCTTAGTCCGTTTGTGGAAGAAAATCTAGTTTCAGTAAGTGTAAAGAAAATAATATCTTAAATATAAGTGCTATTCAAGTGAGAGTTTGTACCGTAATTTAATTGCTATATGTCTAAAATTCTTAACACACGCCTTATCTTCCTCTTTATTAGCAATACTGACAATGCTGTACCATTCATTGCTCACATAGGGTTTTTATGCAAAATAGTGTTTTTATAGAAATAATAATTATTAGAGCTGTTGATTAATCATAGTTAACTCACGTGATTAACTAAAAAAATACCAATTGCGATTTATAGCAGTTTTAATCGCACTGTTAAACAATAGAATACCAATTGAAATTTATTAAATATTTTGGATGTTTTTCTACATTTTCATATATATTGTATTCTGTGTTGTAATTGAAATCAAAGGGTATATTATTTTTGATTACAAATATTTACATTGTAAAATGATAAACAAAAGAAATAGTATTTTTCAATTCACCTTATATAAGTACTGTAGTGCAGTCTTTGTCGTGAAAGTGCAACTTACAAATGTAGATTTTTCGTTGTTACATAACTCCACTCAAAAACAAAACATTGTAAAACTTTAGAGCCTGCAAGTCCACTCAGTCCTACATCTTGTTCAGCCAATCGCTCAGACAAACAAGTTTGTTTACATTTGCAGGAGATAATGCCCCCCCCCACCCGCTTCTTATTTACAATGTCACATGAAAGTGAGAACAGGCATTCTCATGGCACTGTTGTAGCCGACGTTGCAAGATATTTACGTGCCAGGTGCGCTAAAGATTCATATGTCCCTTCATGCTTCAAACACTATTTCAGGGGACATGTTGATGATTGGTTCTGCTCGATAACAATCCAAAGCAGTGCGGACCAATGCATGTTCATTTTCATTATCTGAGTCAGATGCCACCAGCCTAAGGTTGATTTTCTTTTTTGGTGGTTCGGGTTCTGTAGTTTCAGCATTGGAGTGTTGCTCTTTTAAGACTTCTGAAAGCATGCTCCACACTGTGTCCCTCTCAGATTTTGGAAGGCACTTCAGATTCTTAAACTTTGAGTCGAGTGCTGTAGCTATCTTTAGAAATCTCACATTGGTACCTTCTTTGCCTTTTGTCAAATTTGCAGCGATAGTATTCTTAAAATGAACAACATGTGCTGGGTCGTCATCCGAGACTGCTATAACAGGAAATATATGGCAGAACGCGGGTAAAACAGAGCAGGGGACATACAATTCTCCCCCAAACAGTTCAGTCACAAATTTAATTAACACATTTTTTTTTAAATGAGCATCATCAGCATGGAAGCATGTCCTCCAGAATGATGGCCAAACCATGAAGGGGCATACAAATGTTTAGCATATCTGAACTTAAATACTTTGCAATGCCAGCTACAAAAGTGCCATGCAAATGCCTGTTCTCACTTTCAGGTGACATTGTAAATAAGAAGCGGACGGTGGGGGGGCATTATCTCCTGTAAATGTAAACAAACTTGTTTGTCTGAGCGATTGGCTGAACAAGATGTAGGACTTAGTGGACTTGCAGGCTCTAAAGTTTTACAATGTTTTATTTTTGAATGTCTTTTTTGTACATAATTCTACATTTGTAAGTTCAACTTTCATGATAAAGAGATTGCACTATAGTACTTGTATTAGGTGAATTGAAAAATAGTATTTCTTTTGTTTTTTTTACAGTGCAAATACTTGTAATCAAAAATAAATATGAAGTGAGCACTGTTGTAGTGTTGTAATTGAAATCAATATATTTGAAAATGAAGAAAACATCCAAAATATTTAAATAAATGGTATTCTATTATTGTTTTAACAGTATGATTAATTTTTTAATTGCGTGATTAATCGTGATAACAAAGTACAAATTATTCTGCATTATTGAAAGCAAGATTGTTGTCATGAGTAGCTGAGTATTTTGCTTCTTTGTAAGTGTCAATGAGGTGAGTCACTATAGGTGCAAGTTCTTATGGCTGGGCATGTCATAGTAGTGTCGTCTCATTAGATGCCTTCTGCTGACAGCCACTCTAGCCCTGCAGTGGTCTGCTGTACTCGTGACTTGGCCCTCCAGCCAGGGACCGACGTATGGTCCCGTCTCTTTTGGGGTAAACAGAGTCCCGTATGTCTGTCGCCCAGTGGCTTTATGTTGGGTCTTCATCCCAACTACAGGCTTAAGTCCTTTCCATCCCTTATTTCCAGGGGCCTCCCCACTACTTTTGTCAGTAGGGGAACCCAGGCCCTCCCTGTATTCCAGGTTCCAGCCCAGAGACCTTGTAATAAACAGCTAAGATCTGTCTCTTTGTATCCACTGCTTCCTACTGTGGCCTGCTTCTAGACCTTTCCACCAGATCTCAAAAGGAAAAACCTATAGCTCTGGGTGCAAATGACATATATGAGTCCCTTGCCAGGTTTACATGCCCTTAGGGAGACTCAGGTCTAACTGTGTCTTGTTATCTTTTGGCTCTGGCCAGGCCTTTTTTTTCAGTCAGTTCTGGAGTCAGACCTCGCCCTAGTCAGGCCTTCCTCCAAGAGGCCTTCTCCTCTTCCCAGTCAACCCCTGCACTGAACATTTCCCCTTTTAAACCCCTTCAGACTTGGCACTTCTTGCAAGTGAAGCAGGATGGGGCTAATTGCGCCCACAGGTTCTCATTAACCATTTCCCACCTTGTATGGGGTTTGTATACTCTGTCACAGTAAATACAAATTTGTGCTGAAATTTGCAGTGTAAACAATATTATAACTAGTGACATGAAATATAGCCCAGATCCTGCAAATTCTTACTCATGTGAGTAGTCCCATTTACTTTAATGGGACTATTCTTGTGTGTCAGAATTTGCCCATCTTTTGGCTCCCTGCTCTTTATAGCCAAGCCTCCAGTCCAGCAAAGAAATTAAGCATGTGGTTAATCTTAAGTACATGAGAAGTCCCATTGAAGTCAATGGGGACTACTTATACACTTAAGTGCTTTGCTGGATGGGAGAGGTGTCTTAGTTTGGAAAGTATGGATTTGTGTTGATTTCAGCTTCTAAGGTTAATTGTTAACACTGTTAACTATTGCTATAAATGATGTAAAGATTAACTCCATCTAAAATAAAATATATGCAAATCTAGAACAACGCATTCTACAAAAAAGTTGAACAGTAATTCTACAATTGTTTCCTGATTATTTTTATTGCATCAAAAACCATAGTACCCTGGCTATGTAATAACAACCCCCTCACTGCTATCACTAAAAACAGGATATAACTACTACGATAGAAATATATCGTAATCTTTTCTTGTATGTCCAGATGGATGTTAATTTACAGTAAAGCTTTCTTGGGGTGTCAAGGGGTTTAAGGCTGTCAGCCTAACCCTGACCACATATCAGGACCTGTGTTTCATCTTTTTATTATTATTATTATTATTTATGTTTTTAAGGTAGCAGGTGGAACTATTTCACATCAGGTCAGCTTCTCCTATTTCAATGCTTTTAATGCCCTGCTGAATAACATGGAACTCGTTAGAAAGATATACAGTATTATAGCAGGTACAAGGAAAGATATTGAAGTCACAAAAGGTAAAATAAATTTACTATATTTTATTAATTTTCAGATCTCTAAAGTGTGTCTTTTGATACTGTATATGGGTTAAGACTAGTAAGAGGCTGGTGTAATACGGCGATTTAGCAGAACTGTGCAAGTATTTCAAGTTTGATTCTGAATGTGGTTCTCCTGCTCAACTCCAGACTTCACAGGCCAGCAGAGGGTTCTAGCTGGCTCATTAAGGGGAAGAGTTGTCAAGGTGCTGACAAGAGTCTTGACTGGTTCTGATATCCTAGGGATACCACTGCAATGTGGACCTTCTTGTCGTAATGATAGGTGTTTACATGGAGCAGAGAAAAGTCTGGGGAATATGGCAGCTATGGCGGAATGGGTATGCTTCATCAGAAACTCTCTATGTCCTGTTGGCTGTTCCTGTGTGCTACTGTAGCAACAGTTTTTCACTCTTAAGCTCTTTCCACACAATTTTAGCTGAGTTTGTAACCGTTTAATGATATGATGTGCGCTAAACATAATTTGTTTCCACACATAATAAGGCTAATACTGTTAGCAAGCATGCAAGTTAACTATGATTCAATCTTGCCAGCGGCCTGGATCGACTGGCTTTCTGTAACCATTTCATAACATAGCTATTTCCCATCTGTGAATGGGACCCACTAACTATATCTGCTGGGTTGACTCCACCCCTTTTCCTTCCAGTTCTCATGAAGTAAGACATCTAAAAGTGCATTGCCCCTCCTGTGCTGCTCTGTGTTCATGTGCTCTGGGCACCCTCTGTCTTTGGATGGTAGGATGGGACACCTGTCCAGATTCTCCAGTTTGCACTGATACGTCGCTACCTAACTATTTTGGTAGATGTGAATGCACAAACAAAAACTTGTTTGATAGAAACAAAACTTGAAAAACTTGTTTTATAGATGCTACTGAACCATGTTTTCTGTAATTGATCATGGATGTGTTTAGGGTGACCAGACAGCAAATGTGAAAAATTGGGATGGGGTAGGGGGGTAATAGGAGCCTATATAAGAAAAAGACCCAAAAATCGGGATTGTCCCTATAAAATCAGGACATCTGGTCACCCTAGATGTGTTACAAATTGTATTTGTAGTGTGGATAGGCACTTATCCAAACCTGGGAACAATGAGGGGAGGAAGGAACACTGAAATGATTGTGCTAGTTTTAATGATGATTGGTTCATCCATAAATTATACCATTGTCTGCTTTTACAGTAGTTTAGTAACAAGAGCCCCAAATATTGGGTCTGATCTATGGTCTTTGCTGATAGGAGAATTGCTATAGATTTCATAAGTAAGAGTTGCAAGATCAGTTTTACTCTATGATTGAAGCTGCTGTTCTGAAATAGATGTGGTACCAATTCTGGCTCATTTCGTTCTATTTTAGATTTTGCTCCTCATTAGTCTGCCAAGTGATAGATTTAGTTCTTAAGATTTTAATTTTAAAGTTATTTATACACATTTAAAGTGAAAATGTGATAAATGATTCAGGATCAGTTACCTTATTTTCCCCTTCCTCTTAAATCCAGAGGAGTTTGCCCAGGCTGCAATCAAATTTGGACAAGTCACACCGCTGGAAATCGATATTCTCTACCAGCTTGCAGACTTATACAATGCTACAGGGTAATTTATAACCATCATAATCATTCATATTAGTCTTTCCACCCTATTTATATTTACTTTAAAATAGATTTGTTTTATGTATATTTCATTACGGATTATTTGATGACTGCTGGCTGTGCTGGGGTGTGTATAAGTATATGTATAGTGCAGTGAGCAGTCATCAGATAATCAGTATATGGTGTAAAATAACAAAATACACTCCCTGCTTCAAAAAACTTGTAATACGCAGATTGCTAGTGTAAACTTGAAGTGTGAGAGGCGTCTTGACTAGATTGCTGCATGTGAGTTATCATGTGGCACGTGGTGGCTGCTGCATTTACAGAGCACAAACCCTATACTACCGGTAGGCAAGGGCCAAAACCTGGGTAATGCTGAGTTCCCTTTATTCCCTTTATGAGGACAGTGAGAGCAGAAGTGCTTATAACTCCCAAGATTGGATCCTGCAACAGTACTTTGTAAAGTGCTTAGGGATACCTGAAATATAACAAGTAATACACCTCTACCCCGATATAACGCTGTCCTTGGGAGCCCAAAAAAATATTACCGCGTTATAGGTGAAACCGCGTTATATCGAACTTGCTTTGATCCGCCCGAGTGCGCAGCCCCACCCCCCTGGAGCACTGCTTTACTGCGTTATATCCGAATTCGTGTTATATCGGGGTAGCGGTGTATATAAAGCCATAATCTAGTCTGTTGAAGAAAAGGTGCTTGCTGAGGGTTGTTTATGATTTTGACTAACAATGATTTATTTTCCTTGGGCTTGTCTGAAGGCGTTTAACTTTGGCAGATATTGAGAGAATAACACCACTGGCTGAAGGTGCCTTGCCTTACAACTTGGCAGAACTCCAGCGGCAGGTAGGTAGGAGTGATATCATGTGTACAGTCAATTGTGAAAATACTAAACTGAAGGAAACATTTAGAAGTTGGCAATTTATAAAACTTCTGAATATTTGCATATGAAAAGTAGAACTTTTTGCCTTAAAAAGACTTTTACAAAACTCAAGTCTATGCTTATAGTTTAAAAAAAAGAAAAGAAAATTGGTTCCCAGATTTTACAGATTCTCTTTGCTGTCTTGAACTTAAAGAAAACATGTTGGATTCCTCTGACATTAGTGATGTTTTTGTTGACCAGGCACTAGATTTTAAGGAAAGTTCTTATTACATTTTTTTATAATTGACTGAAATTGTAAGACTGTTTTAGAACATTACTTCCTGAAACAAATCTTTCAGTGAGTAGATGCTTATAGTTTTTAATCAAAATATTAGATATTTTTTGTACTAGAGAAAAAAATTACGAAACCATTAAATCCTTTGATGAACTGTCTATGAATTTGGATTTCCCACTATTGTTAGTAAACCAATTAAAAACATATCCACTAACTCCTGAAAATATCTGGAATTTTCTGTTAAAATCCATCCTTAAATACTAGCTTGGAAGTACACTTTGAGTTTTGTTTGTATTTTAGTACACTTCCATATTGAGCTCCATAATAATGCTCTATCTTTATGTTGTGAACATATACAGAATCTATATACAGCATGTAAAGCTGATAAACATGTTCTCCTTTGAGAGATTAGTTGGAGTAATCATCTTCCCTGGTGATTGACTTGGATGGTTTGTTTAGAATGCTCACTGAATCTTGCTAATGTTATTTGATACTCATTAGCTCTTGTGATTTACATAGCAAGAGAAGAATCCTGTTTGTGTGGGGCTGATGAAAAATGTGGAATTGGAGGATGGAAACATAGCTTCAGAATGTTAACTCTTTACTTCACCTGAGATCTTTCTTCATAGATTTGTGTGGTTTCCTTTCATGGAAGTTTTATATACTTTAGATGTAGGTGTTTTTACAAGTCAAGGCTCTGTGTCCTGTGTGGCACGTTACACTCAAGCCATGCAGTTAGGAACCCTTACATTTACATTTGTTTCAAATTTGAAGGTTATTTTTCACAACCATGAGAGCTAGACTCTTAGGGTGAGATATTCAAAAGCACTCATCTTATATTTAGGCACTTACATGAAATGGGTTGAGGACTTTCAATGGTGGTAGTTGGGTACTGAGCACTTTTGAAAAATATGGCCCTTATGTTTTTAAAAATGAAAGCCTAGATTCTGAGGGCCTGTCTTTACTGCTGTGATAAATGAAGCGGGGAGGGGGATAGCTCCCTTTTATGGATACCCAGCCAGACAGTTAGCTATAAAATTCCTCTTACTAGCTGTTCTCTACTTGCTTTACCTGTAAAGGGTTAACAAGCCCACAGGTAAAAGGAAAGGAGTGGGCACCTGACCAAAAGAGCCAATGGGAGGGCTAGAACTTTTTAAAATGGGGAAAAAGCTTCCCTTTGTCTCTCTGTTGTGTTCTCCGGGAAAGAGGGGAACAAGGAGCAGTTATGCTATGAGAAGCTTTAAGCCAGGTATGATCAAAAATCATCAGATCATACCTAGAATTGCTTATTTGGAACTCCCAAACGTAAGTAGATTAGAAATGTTTAGAAAGACGCGATTAGGTTTATTTCTGTTTATTTCTTGGCTTGTGAACTCCTCTGTGCTAACCCCAGATGCTTTTGTTTTGCTTGTAACCTTTAAGCTGAATCTCGAGAGCTAGCTTGATGCTTCATTTTTGTAATTGTTTCTTTTAAGATCAAGCAAAAAGCCTAAGTTCCAAATGTATTTCCTTTCTTTTTGTTTTTAACAAATGTTACCTTTTTTAAGAACAGGATTGTATTTTTGTTTCCCTAAGAGGTTTGTGCATATGTTGTTTAATTAGCTGGTGGCAACAGCTGATTTCCTTTGGTTTTTTTCTCAGCTCTTCCCGGGGGTGGAGGGGAGGGCTTGAGGGTACCCCACAGGAAGGAATTCCCAAGTGTTCCTTCCTGGGTTCTCAAAAGGGGGTGGGTTTTTTTTGCACTTGGGTGGTGGCAGCATCTACCCATCCAAGGTCAGAGAGAAGCTGTGACCTTGGGAGTTTAATACCAGCCTGGAGTGGCCAGTATTAATGTTTAAAATCCTTGCGGGCCCCCACCTTCTGCACTCGAAGTGCCAGAGTGGGGAATCAGCCTTGACAACTGCCCTGAACCCAACTCCCATGTGCATACAAAAATCTGTAGCTTGAATTAAGTGATGTTTTAAACTTGAGCTAGATGGCTTGTCCAAGGTATGGGTTGAAGTGAATGCTGATGATGATCGAGCTAGTAATGCAGGGGGGTCTTGGGGCATGTCTACACTACAAACTTTTGCCACCACAAGTTATGGCAGCATAAAGCCCACCGGAGTTAGCATATCACTTGTGTACTTGCATATTTGCATACTCCTTGTCTTAGCGTTGCATGTACTCACCAGGTGCTTGTTTTGATGGACAGTGCAGTACATCATGGGTAGGTATCCCAGTGTGCAACTCGCTACCATCCAGCACACTGTTTTTTTGGGAAGTTTGGCAATGCATGGTGGGGCAGAAACAAGTTGTGCATGGGAGACTGGGACTGCGAGGTCAAGTTTCCATCTGGATACTTTCTCCACGACATAATTCCATCTCTATCCTATAATTTTCATTCCTATTTTGAGAATCCCACAAACCCACATGAGACTTGTCACTTTCCGCCATCTCTGACAGAAGCATGGAGCCTGAACAGCTCTTTGCTATTGTCATGAGCATTGCAAGCACAAGACACATGATTAAGGTTAAGATTTTGTCACAGTTATTTTTAGTAAAAGTCATGGACAGGTCACAGGCAATAAACAAAAATTCATGGAAGCCTGTGACCTGTCTTTGACTCTTACTAAAAATAATTAGGGGGGCTGATGAGGGAAGCCTGAGTAAGGTGGGAATGAGAGCCTGAGCCTTGCTGCGGGAGGGGGTGAAGGTTCCAGCACCCACCCTGGATGACATTTCTGTGGCCCCGCCATAGCCCCCACGGCTTGGACCTCTGGGGTCTCTGCCTCCCGCAGAGGCTTGAGAGCTCCTGGTCCCCCTGCCACCCACAGTGGCTGGGAGCTGTGGGCCTGCTCCCTCCCCACCAGTGGCAGCTAAGAGCTGTGGCCCCAGCCCCATGGCAGCTGAGAGCTCCGGGGCCCCACCGCTGACTGATAGCTTTGGGGCCCCTCCATGCCAGAGCTGAAGCAGAAAATGTCATAGAGGTCTCTGAAAGTCACAGAATCTGTAACTTTCATGACCTCCATGACATAATCTTATCCTTACGCATGATCTTTCAATATTTGTAGAGCTGCAAGAAGAGCCGTGGGCAACATGACGATTTTCTGGTGGGCAGATTGCTGTGGGACATAATGAGAACCAATTCAATCTTGTTGGTGGCATTCATGGAGCAGCTGCAAATGGTGGACTGCAGTGGAGCAAGAGATGGCGCACACATCCCTGTTTTGCCACCTGACCACTTTGCCACAGAGTACATCAACAGAAAGGCCTATTTTACTTTGGTTATGAAAGCTCTAGAGGATCACCAGGGACGCTTCACTGACTTCAGTGTTGGAAGGTCAGGGAAGGTTCATGACGCTCACATCTTTAAGAACACAGGATTGTTTAGAAAGCTACAAGCAGGGACTTTCTTTCCTGACCAGGGGTTTATCATTGACCATGTTGAAATACCAATAGTGATCCTAGGGGACCCAGCCTACCCCTTATTCCCCTAGCTCATGAAGCTGTACACCAGCCATCTTGACAGCACCAGGGAGTGCTTCAACTCCTTGTTCAGCAGGTGCAGCATGACAGTTGAATAAGTGATGGTAGATTGAAGGGGCACTGGTGTTGTTTACTTGCAAGTTTGGATTTCAGTGATAAAAATATCTCAATGGTTCTAGCTGCCTTCTATGTCCTGCATAATATCTGTGAAGCAAGGAGGAAAAGTTGCAGTTAGGGTGGAGGTGGAATGGCTGTCTGCTGAGTTTGAACAGCCAGATGCAAGGGGTATCAGAAGAGTTCAGCTTGGAGTTATACAGCTCAGGCAGGCTTTGAAAGAGTACTTTAGCAGCAAGCCACAATAATCCATTGTGGTGAACTAATCTGTACCTGGGCTTGAAGTCTGGGGGTCTGTTAGGAATTGTGTGGAGGATGGTGCACATCTTATCAATGTAACACTGAGAATTCACCTATTCATTTTGTAGTGCTTGCTGTACGTTTATGATTATTACACTGTATGTGTCACTAATCCTGAGTTGTGTCACAATGTACAATAACAACTAAGTGGGTGCTTTCACTACCACCAGGCATTCTGCAGCATATCTTGAGAACTCATAAAGATAAATTGTTTTCCAAACAATAGAGTTTTATTGAGTAATGAAAACGCTTAAAAAGAATTCTGTTCAAGTTAAAAGCAAATATATTAAAACCTTAATACATTTATAGAGCAAAGCTTAAAGAAGGGGAAGGAATGTTCATGTCCATTTTAATTATACATACATCAACTGTGGTTCTCGCAGGTCAGTGTATGTGAAGCTGTGATTGTGCTTAATGTCCCTGATGTGGAGTGGTAGGCGTAGGGATGCAGCCCCTGATGCGATGTGGAATGTTGAGGGAGGTATAGAGAGGTGCTATCCTGGAGTTCTCCAGGGACTGCAAAGGGAGGTGAGCCAGGATTGTTGACCACCTGTAGGTCCATAAGAGTCTGTAGCATCTCTATTTTCCACCAGAGAAGTCTCATTATGTCCTGGTGCATCTCCCTCTCCTGTTCCTGCTGCAACTCCTGGGCCTTTCTTCGTCTGCTTTTTCCTTCTCCGTACAGTCTGTAATATGCATCCTCCAGGCCCTCTGCTCATAAGAACATAAGAACGGCCATACTGGGTCAGACCAAAGGTCCGTCTAGCCCAGTATCCTGTCTACCGACAGTGGCCAATGTCAGGTGCC